CCTGAAGCTTCATTACTTTACCCTTCTCCTTCCAATTGATAGTTGGTTGATTGAAATTGAATTCAATAGTTCCCAAACTTGCTAACCATTCCAGCCTCAACACCATCTCTGTTTCTCCCAATTGGCCAATTCTAAGACATAGAAGTCTTGAATGATGTCAATTTGTTGAATGTTAAGAGAAACAGCTTCACACCTCCCATTGTTTCTGATTATGTCTCCATTCCCTATCTTCACCTTGAATTCTGGTATCTGAAGAACAGGTAATCCTGCTGCTTGGACTACCTTATGAGATATAAAATTGTGTGTAGCCCCACAATCAATCAGAATTATGATGCTTTTATTTCCTTTGTTACTCCTTAACTTACCCTTCACTTTAAAAGTCCTGGGAGTTGTGATCCCTTCTTTGCTCATAAAGGATAACTGCATATTACTCAGGTCTGTTTCTTCTAGTGGTGAAGCATGTCCTGTAAAATTATTGCCCAATACATCCTCCTCCTCTGCAGATTCATCCAACATTATGATCTGAAAGTGTTTCATCTTAAAACATAGACCTTTCCTGCTCAATTCTTGTAACTCAGATTGAGATAATCTGTGTGTACTCCTTATTCCAGGCTCTTTATTTTTTGTTTCCATTTTCTTTTCCATTGCAGGTTTCCCTTGACTGGACTGGTTGTTCATACTGCTCTTCCACTTACTTTTATCCATCCATTTGTGATTCTGTAATGAAGTGTACCCTTTCTCTTTCATTCCTCTTCTATCTTCTTCCTTGTTTTTGGCAGATCTTAGAGTCTGATTCCTCTGTTCAACTAGCAAAGCCCTATCCATCAATTCTGCAAGAGTTCTGACTGGATATAAATTTAATTCAGCTTTTATTTCATCTTTCAAACCCTTCATAAAGATTCCCTTGAGTATTTTTAAATCAGTATGTTTCAAGGGTGCCACCAGCAACTCAAATTGTTCCCTATACTCCATTACACTGCCAGTTTGCATCACACTCAATAAGGGGCCATAAGGATCATGTATCGGTCCTGGTTGAAAACTAGGAGTCAAGGCAGACTTGAATGATTCCCAGTTTCTCATCTCAGTGTGTTCTTCCCACCACTGAAACCAGTTAAGAGCCTTTTCTTCCATCGCTAAAGTAATTAATTCTACTTTATCATCTTCCTCTATATGATTCATTTTTAGGAAACGCTCAGCCTTAACTATCCATCCATAAGCATCATGTCCATTAAAGAGTGGTAAATCTACTTTCCTTCCAGATTTTTCCATCAATTTACTGTAATCATCATTTCGCGATGAAGATTGATGCTTACCTGACGAAGACGAAGAAGATTCACTACTATCATGTCGCTTGCTTCGCTTCGTTGTTTTGGACCTTCCGCGCGACTCGCCTTGCTGCAATATTAACTCGCGCAACTCATCGCGAGTTCGCTGAGCTTCTTCACACATCTCTTCGCGAATGCGCATCGTCTCCGCGCGGCTTTTCTCCAGCTCGCGTTCCACATTCTCCAATCGCGTTTCCATCGTTCCTCTTGTGGCGACCATGTACAGGTAACAAGATCGTTGCTCTGATACTAATGTCAAGTATCTAACTGAATGACAGAGAGAATTCTAGCAGAAAGTAGGAACGAAGATGAACAGTGAATAGGATTTGTTATTCGATCAACAGAAAAGAGAGAGTGTCCTGACAGTTAAAGAGATGTCAACTCTCCAGTCCCAGCCAACTACCAAATAACAGCCTGCCTTATTCCTCCTTTAGCTATCTATTTATAGAAGTCCACCCGACTCCCCCAAATACAATTCAGCTAGCTACTTATTATTCCCTTTCCTTCTGGAATACACTTTATCATAATAGCTAATACTATTATTATTATTATCAAGAGGTTGACTTCCTGAGACTCTAACATCAATGTTAGGTACCTAACTAATTCACAATAAATTTCAAGAAACAAGATGAAGAAGAAAAGAACGATAGACACTTCGAGTAGTCTCAACACTCCCAAGTCCCAGTCCCGATCTAAGTTCTGCCTGCCTCTCCCTCCCCTTCCCCCCCTTTTTATACACTTTCTATTCTTAAGGGGCCGGCCCATACTTCCTGAATTACATGGCCCAGAACATTTATTTATACAATAACACTATTTAATAATACTCTATTGTTCTTATTACTATTGGCTGTCCATGTCCCTATCATATCTCCCCCCTTGAACATCCACCTTGTCCGCAAGGTGGGTGATAGGAAACAGTCTTGATCTGCAACTTCATCTTCATTCTGGCGCCTCTTCCTTCCCAATACATCCCAGTTGTGTGGACCTTTAACTTCAGTATTTGAAGCTTTATCATCCATTCCTCCTGGCATTTGCTGAAACTTTCCCAAAAATCTTCCAAATCTGATAGTTGTCTCCATTGAACCAAAACTTCCTTATTTCCTTGTAATGCAAAAGATTCGACTCCTCCTGCATGCTCTTGATCCTTTTTAATGACATAATACTCTTCCATGCATCCAGCAGATCTGTACCCAAATCCACTATATTCTGCATATCCATTTATATCTACTCGGCCATAAAACCACTGAGTTCCAGTAGGAAGATGGTCCATGGATATTATTCTGCCACCAATCCCGGGGACCACTTTCAACTCCCGATCCTCACCTTTTGATACATCCAGATCATTACATGTGTGAAGAAGCAAACTAACAATAGATAGTTGGCTGGGAGTTAAATCCACATAGGCTGGAGGAGCATAATATGGCAATTGTACAGCATGTCTTTTCTCTGCCTCACATTTCAGCTCATACATATAACAATATTCATCCCCTCTACACTTGTAATGAGTGCCATAGCTAACAGAGAATGCGGTTATGTTTGGCTCCCACTTTTATATGACAAACAAGTGTTTGTTTTCTAGATTCCAATCCTGAATTTTATTTTCAGAAGTGACATGCCGAACTCTACCCAAAAACGAGTTGAAGAATTCCATTTAACCTCGAGATGCATCCAGAACTGCACGTCCAATAGAAACAGATACGGCAGCAACCAAAGTCCCTATAGGAAGTACCCGCACCTCCACACCCCTCGGGGTAGATTTTCTAGTACCTTCAGTGCTTCGTTGATTGGAACCTTCCCCCTTCACAGCTCCAGAAACAGTTTGCCCCTGTTCCTCCGGTTTGTGCACAATTATCTTTTCCAACCTCTTGCTATTCAATATTGTCAGCCTCAAGACAGCACATGTAAAAATATTCACCCATTCATCAATAGAAATTGTTATTGACCCCAGCAGGTCCTGATACATGCTCAATGAACAGCAATTAGTGTTCTCCACAACACAAGATTCCAACACCTTGACCAGCGACTAAATTCCATGAGCATAACTGCCAGGCCCCTCAACTAGTTTCTTTTTCTGATTTCCACCTTCCTGTTCAGCCTTACCTATCTCAGGCATAACTGAAAAGTCAAAGTTTTTAAAAACAATTGAGCCACCAGTTTCTTCCATTAAAAATGCACCCGAGAAGTACCAGAAGTTCTTCATGACAATAAGATGCCCAGCTAACTTGCTTCTTGGTGCAACTAGAGCACAGCTGACCGTCAAGACACCCTCACATCTAAAACTATCAAACTTGTTAAATGACTTCACTCCTTCCAAAGTAATGTTTAATGAATGAAAGTTCACCATTTCAGACTTTAAAACATTAGGCCAGTTGATCTCTTGTACGAAACTAGAATTCATTGTGGACTTTGCCACACACGCCGCAGTATCACATACCTGAAGAATCTTGAAAATATTGGTTCCCGAGTCTGACTTGATGGACTCGTACTTCAGAAAACAAGCAATTGTGCCCGCTTCAGGTCCATCAATAACTGTAGTTTGCTCCTTGAGTTCTTCTTCCAGATTGGATTTCTTGATTACAGATTCGGCCGTCTTCAACTCCGTATTCTTTATCGATGGAATCCCCAGCATAGAAACTTGAGCCGACTCAGAAACCTTGGACAAAATTTGCGCTGACAACTGTGAACCAGTAAACAAGTCTTGCGCAGGGTGAGAATCAACTTCCGATGACCATTGGTTATGCTTGTTTAACCTCGGCGAACTGGAAGCAACTGTTATCGCCTGAGACGAAGTTTGTGAACTTCGCGAATCAAATAGCGACAAACTCTGCGAAGTGGATGAACTCTGCGAATGTTGAAGAACGGATTGCGAACTGCTCTTGCTTTTGGAATTCCTGCAGCTTTTTATGGTCCGTAACTGGTCCAACCAGATCCTTCGCTCTTTCTCCCAGTCACTTTCTACCTCTTCCGCGAGCTTCTCCACTTTTCCGCGCTCAACCTTTTCCGCTAATTTCTCCCGTCTCTTTTCGCGACTCCTCTCTGGTTCGTTTTCCCAGCTTTCCCAACCACGTTCCATCATTTCATAATCAATTTCCTCCATGAGCAATATCCAATCTTTACTCTTCACTCTTTTGACGGCCATGATCAGGTGCAAGAACGATGCTCTGATACCAATGTTAAGTATCTAACTGAATGACAGAGAGAATTCTAGCAGAAAGTAGGAACGAAGATGAACAGTGAATAGGATTTGTTATTCGATCAACAGAAAAGAGAGAGAAAGTGTCATGACAGTTAAAGAGATGTCAACTCTCCAGTCCCAGGCTCCAAGCCAACTACCAAATAACAGCCTGCCTTATTCATCCTTTAGATATCTATTTATAGAAGTCCACCCGACCCCCCCAAATACAATTCAGCTAGCTACTTATTATTCCTTTTCCTTCTGGAATACACTTTATCATAATAGCTAATACTATTATTAGTATTATTATTATTATCAAGAGGTTGACTTCCTGAGACTCTAAGAGATTATAACAATACTATGATCGATTATTGAAATTAGTTTTTAGCTCTCCCAAACAAACTCTAACAGACCCTAGACGGGAACATGAAACAGTAAACCTTGTCAGTTGGTGAAAATATTCATTGCACAATTGCAATAAAATAAAATAAAAAAGACACCTGGGGCTTTTTATAAGTGTGGATATGGTAACAAAGCCAATACATTCTGTAAACCACCTCAAGGCAGGAGTCCTCTGCACACACACCAACCAACTTCTTTTAAGTGAAATAACTGAACAAATCAATACACAAAATTCAGAAACAAGAAAAAAACCAAAAAAACAAAAAAAAACAAATCAAACCATCAAATTGAATGCAGAGGAAAGAAGTTACTTGACGTTCTGCCATCGTGAAACATTTTCAAGTCCCCGCCAGCAGAATAAGCACGGCCAGCTCCCTGTGTAAAATGAATAAATGTCATGCCTCGCTCCCTGTTAGCCATTCTCTCTTTTGGAGGCTTATATAATGTGATTAACCTTTAATATGATGAGAGCTACATTGTCATCATTCTCCCATTTTTCCAAGTTTTCAGCCAGCAACTTCACCTGATTAAAGAAAATGAAAACAAAATAATTACAGAGAACTTAAAGAAAACACCTCAAACATAAAAGAAAAATGAAACAAGGTTTTACAAATTACAATTCCCATACCACTTTAGAAGAAATGACATTCAACTGCTTGGGACGGTTTAAGGTTATCAATCTAGCACTGCCAGCTTCTTCAGCAAGAACAACCTAAAGAGCCAAAAAAAACCTATAGATTAATAATTAATTCAGGATTTCAGACCTCTGGTACTAAAACTGTATATTTATAGGAATGGAATGTTTATATAGCAATCACCTCTGCATCTAGGACCGATGTTTCTTGTGCCATCTGCCAAACAAATCAGTAGAGCCTCAAATGGAGAGAAGAAGTAATATAGAAAACAGAGCTAAAGATAATTTGCGCAAGAAAACAGAGCTAAGAGTATGAGGAGAAACAGCTAGCTCACCTACCACCTGCAAGATTCAACGTCTTAATTTGGTTTGTGGTTGTGTTCTGGGACACAAAGGGAGACAGAAATACGGAATTAGAGTGAGCTTTTCCTCCTCACCTACTACACATTTTCACCAATCACAATAGTGTCACTATTTGTAGTATTTATTGTTATGGTTTGTTTTAGAAAATTCTTAAATTTAGTCATGGGGTATACTTTTGGGTTTAATGTACTAGTATCATAAATTAGCTCCGATTCAAAATTTTCATCAAACTCTAATGTGTTGTAACTATTCGTGTACATACAAGGGCGTGACCAGGCCGGATGTTTACCCTGAGCCAACTATACACTAAAAAACATTATATAAAAATTTTAAAAACAATAATAATGTGAACATAATGATTAAAATCTATTAAAATTCATAGTAACATTTGACATTCCTAAATACTGATTTTCTATTTCACAATTCAAAGCACACAAAATCACAAATCAATTGACAATTTCACACACTAAGTCACTAACACAAACTAAAATAACAAATAAAACACCTGAAGAGTGGAGACAGGTCAGCAAGTCAGCAACCTCAGCAGTCAAAGACTCAAAACTTCAAAGGAATGTAGCAGACTGCCCAGGGCGAGAGGCGAGAGGCGGAGGCGCGGGTGGAGGAGAGGCGGCGTGCGCTTGGCGTTGCGATGCGGGGACGAGCGGCGGAGGAGCGAAAAGGGTTGTACGCATGAATAATTATAACATAGATGTTTTGACACATTTTTTTAAATCACAAGAGCCGGTGTGATGCATGAAACCGGTATATCTTTATACTCCATCTGTATTCTTTTCTTCGCTACATTTTCTTTTTTATCTTCTTTTTCATCTTTTCTCATACTTTTTATATATTATTCATTACCCGTAATATTGTTCCCTTAAGCATTGTGTCAAATCCTATTGTAGCAAACACTAAAGATGGAGTTTAATATTGTTGTGTAAATTTAAATAGAAAATGATTTGTTCTTCATATATAATTGATCAAGTTGTATTATAACGAAATTAAAGTGGTATCAAATGAGAAATTAATGTATGATTCATGAAATGTTCAAAGTTATAAGAACAATTTGTGAAATAATGGGAAAGGGTGCTCCAATAGGAGTCGTGACATATATATTTATAATAGAAGAGTTGTCAAAATACAAAGTATTCCTAAATAGATATTAGGCTATTGCATTTGTGCTATTAATCATAACTAACCCAAAATATTTAAATGAGTTTACTTTTGAAATATTACTCAAATATAAATTATTTACATAAATTATTGGAAAATGAATAAAAAATTATAGTAAAAATAAGTGTTATATTTCATTTTATGAAAGAAATATGTGGTCCACACTATTTCATTTTATTATACTCAAATATTAATTATAACTTTAACTTTTTCAACCACTTCATTAATAATTGCGTCAAACTAAATTAAGACATATAAAATGGAGCAAAATAATACATAGCTAGTACACCTTGATTGGAGAGGGTCAAGAAAACAGCTAGCTCTACCTTGCTTGGGTAGGCAGGTCGCAGGCGTAGACCCCGAATCAAGGGCGGAGTCGGGGTTAAGATGGTGAACTGACCCCCTGAAAGTCTGAGAATATAGAGTACTAAAATACTTTCGATTTGATGTATTGTATCTCTCATAATTCATTATGAGTAAAAGATTATGTCTTTTGAGAAATTAGCACTATTTAAACGTGAAATGAGTAAAATTTGATGTATAATATTGATTATTGATGGAGTTATGGGATTAGGCCCAAAGCCTAATCGGTCCAAGCCCCGAACTTGGACCCGTGGATCCAGGTCCACAACCTGGAGCCTGCCTACCATCCCAACGGGGAACCTGCCAGTTCAGCCGACCTGCTAGCCAGGAAAAGTAACAGTCAAGCAATTAATGCGTGTTTAATTATGTATTTAATTCTGTATTAATGTTGTAATTAATTAGTCATTATTATCGGTAGCGGTTACGAATTGTATACGCCTATAAAAGGCACTTTGTAATTCAAACTAAGGGAGCAAATTCTACAAGCTATTTCTGGCAACTAAACTTCCCTTAGCAACTTTCCTTATTCATATTGCTCTCTTGATTTCCTGCTTGAGTATCGTACGTAGCTTTCCTAAAAGCCTACGAGCGTCCTATTTTGGACCAACATTGGTGCTTTCATTGAGAGCCTCTATTGATCTCTCACATCACTTTAGTAGGAAAAAAAATCAAGAAATTCATCCCAATCCAAGGTGCTACAGTTCCAATTCCTCATGTTCTCTTCGCCAATCACAGCTGGATGTCGCGCGCCGACGTCGATGCTGGTCTCCCTCATCGCCACGCCTATTCATGAGATAGGCCTTCAAATGTGCGCCCACCTAATTCCTATGGAGCAAGTCTGCTATGCGTTAAAGTGAATGGGCCAAAATTACACTAAGACCAAATTTGATTCTCCTCAAGGATGACGACGGGCTGCATTTTCAGCAACTCATTGGGGCCCGTTTGGTTCTAAAGCTAAGTTTTCAAAAATCCTCTATATTTGATACAAAAAAAATCATAAATTAAAACATTTGAAAAGATATTTTAAGTGATATATTGCTTTTACTCTTGTTAAGTGTGTGTAATTTTAACATTGAACAACGGACTTATGAAATCTGATCATTCAAGTACGCCGGACGAGCACACACACTCGTACACTGGCCGAGCACACACACTCGCGCCACCGGGTCACATCATCTGGGTGTGACGATTAATAAGCTCCAATATAAATGTTGATACCGCACACTCTTGACTTCATACGAGTTCTTGTGTGCTCTTACCTCTTCCTAGTGCATCACACTCCGACCTCGGGGGACGAGTCACCCGTTCAAAAGTTTTTACTTGCGGGTTCGAACTATTAACCTCGGACGGAGAGTTAAACTCTTGCTAGAGGCCTAGAACCACGTTCTTCCGAGCAATTTTGTCACTTAAATGACATTCACATTTCCCGAAAAGGTTGATATACTTTAGTTCACTGGGGTTGGATTATCCGTTCGAATGGTGACTCCGAGTCACTTACTCGCGGATTCAATCTTCCTTTCGGAGACTGGGTTGAGGCCTAACTTGGGAACTTGATGTCACTCTTTTCGAGTAGTGAGTCTGACTCGCTTACTCACTGAACCATGGTTCAGAACCGGGTCAGATGCTCTATTCTACACTTGTTGCTTTATGTGTAGGTACGACTGAACGAAGACGAACCTGATGAGTCCGAGTCCGATGAGAAGAACGACTCTAGCCATCCTCTTTGCTGATGGTGACCATTGCAATAAAGGCTGAAGATTTCACCCTTTGCTTCATCTGGGGGGCATCAGGTGTACTCTTTTTCCCTTCATTAGGATTTTTTCCCATTGGGTTTTTTCCTAATGAAGATTTTTAATGAGGCATCTCCCCAACATGGACAAGAGCAGAGATCTTCCAGTCTCGGAGAAGGGCAGCTGACTTGGACTACTCCCTCTTAGTCGAGTCTACTACTCGACTAAGGGAGTGGGGGACTCGTGATGGAGTTATGGGACTAGGCCCAGAGCCTAATCGGCCCAAGCCCCGAACTTGGACCCGTGGATCCAGGTCCACAACCTGGAGCCTGCCTACCATCCCAACGGGGAACCTGCCAGTTCAGCCGACCTGTCAGCCAGGAAAAGTAACAGTCAAGCAATTAATGCGCGTTTAATTATGTATTTAATTCTGTATTAATGTTGTAATTAATTAGTCATTATTATCGGTAGCGGTTATGAATTGCATGTATACGCCTATAAAAGACACTTTGTAATTCAAACTAAGGGAGCAAATTCTACAAGCTATTTCTGGCAACTAAACTTCCCTTAGCAACTTTCCTTATTCATATTGCTCTCTTGATTTCCTGCTTGAGTATCGTACGTAGCTTTCCTAAAAGCCTACGAACGTCCTATTTTGGATCAACAATTATATTCTCAAATTTTATAAATATCGTCTAATTAACTCTAGAGTTATTAAAATAAATCTAGTCCCTCTGATTTTATATTTTAAACCTTCTAACAAAATGAAAACTGTTCCCCACTAAATAAAATCATCTGCACGTGGACTCTAGAATATATATGACATATATATCAAAACTAAGTATTGTTCTTTTTAAAATTATTATTGTCTAATCTGCATACGAAAAATTCAAGGGAGATTTACCTAAATAAGAGTAAATAAAAGGATAATTGCAACAATAGGAGTTTAAAGTTTAAATTCCCAAAATAGGACTAACTCTTCCTATTCTACCCTTTCCTTTATCCTTGATAATAGGATTTTAATTTAAACAATCATTATAAAATATAAAAAATCAAAAAAATAAAAATAAGAATTGTAAAAAATAATTAAAAAATATATAGACCCCAACCACCACCTCAGCCACCTTCCAGCACCGCCACCTCCGGTCACCGGAAAAAATTGCCAAGTTGGGGGAAAATGTCATCATGATGGCAATTTTGAAGAGAAAGCAAGAGAAAGCTGGATATTTTCAAAGAATAAAAATGTCTTATTTATGACATTTTCAGAGAAATGTGACATTTTTTACACAACATGGCATTTTTTCCAGCTATCGGAGTCGGTGGTGCTGGGAGGTAGAGGACACGTTGGCAGTGACCTACATATTTTTAAATTTTTTTTAGGTATTTTTATTTTATTTTTTGGACTTTTTAAAAAAAAAATATTTTTTATTTTTTTATTTTTTATTTTATTTTTTCACGTTTTCATTATTATTTTATAATTATTCTATTATTTTTTATTTTTTTATTATAAATAAAACTATGATTTTCTTATTAATAAAATAAATCTACTGGAAATGATAGGAATGAGGTACAATGGGAAGAAATGACATATATTAGTCCTATTTTGGGAATATACTCCTATTGTTGAATTTTGGGCTTATTTTACTTCTACTAAGGGCTAATACCCGAAAAGTCAATTCAAGCATTCTTTAAAAAGAAATTACTCTAAATAGGAGCAAAAATGTTTTGAAATTTCAAAATAGGAGTATCATTTTTTTATTCCCTGAATAAGAGTAATCTGCCAAGTTTGAAAAAAAATGTCATGTTTAAAGCTTAGTAAAGGCCAAACTTGGTAAAAATTTACTCTTATTCAAGGAATAAAAAACATGATAGCCTTATTTTGGAATTTCAAAACTTTTGTACTCCTATTTAGAGAATTCTCTTTTAAAAATGGTCCACTTTTTTAATCTATATTTAGGCTTTGTTTGCAATACTAAAAAAAAGTGATTCCTAGCTTGTGACTTAAAAAACTAAAAAAAAGTGTTTTCAAGTGACAACTTCTACTTAAATTAATACTTAAAACCTAAACGCTGGAATCTGCTTTTTACTTTTTCTATTACACAAAAAACATTTATTTTACCAAACACTACCAACTTTTACTTTTCAAAATCACTTTTTTCTCAAACACTACCAACTTTTATTATTAAACACTTTTCCAAAATCATTTTAAAAAGTTCAAAAGCATAGTACTGTTTGCAAACAAAGCCTTAATCAAGTCCGGCTTATGAAAAGTCATTTTTTTGGCTCTGCCCGTGCCTCACATCCGATCCAGGGGCGGATCTATCTTAGGTCCAAGGAGGACCCAGGCCCCACCTCAAAAAAAAATTACAGTATATGTATACACTAATATATAGTGTTGTGTAACAATGGCATAATAATTAAAAAAATCAAAATATTTACAAAACGTGTGTCATGGCGGGATGGAATTAGATCCGGTGTGTGAGGATGCTGCTATTTGAGCAACCCAAGTTTGGATCTTAGCCTGAAAAATAAATTAGTTCAATTATTTGATATGAAAATTAGTTCAATATTTATGGGCTTGAGGTGTTTTATGTATATGATTTTGACAAAATTCTTATTCTCATAATATTGTTTTTGTCTTTGACACTTAAGTTGTAACAGATGTTATTTTGCACATGAAAATAAATTTTGTTAAATACATATTGATTTAGGGAGTCCTGTATTTTGACACTTTATGTAGTATATATATTTTAAATAATTTTGGCCCCACCTGTAAGTCCTAGATCCTCACGTGCTCTTATACATAGCTTAGGCTAACTGCAACCCTCCTCCGTCAATACATCAAATTTCACACCACTTTATACGTATTCAATCAATCAATTCAGTTTTTACTGCAATCCAGCACCGTCAATATATTCACACTCTTAATTAAAATCTTACATATATTATTATACATTAACTTTTTTCCGCGAGTTTTTTAGCAAACAATTATGATATAAAAAGTCAAACATTTCGATGTAAAAATAAATAAATTCAGAGTTTAATTTTATTTTTGTTAATTCAGAGCTATTTTTAAATAAAAATAATTGAAAGATGTAAAACAAGTTTTGTAATTATGACATCTTAATTTTAGCAGATGAATCTATTTAAGAGTTCTGAATAGTCGGTTGGTATTGGTTGTTTCTGTAGAAGACATGGCTTCAGTTTGATCTTATATATCGTAGTTCTGCGTGGGGCTGAACCTGCTTTCAGTGTTTTGCATATTTTCTTCATTCATTGCAGTTTATACTTTGCCTTTTTCTAACTATGGCTTTTTTTGGAATTTAATTTTTTTTAAGAGGATACTAAATAAACCTGGCATTGCTCTTTTGGATCTGAATTCTAAAACTGAAATATAATTTGTGCAGTAGGATGAACAATTGTTTTGATATATTTGATCTTACGACTTTCTGCTCTAGCACTTCTGATAAATGTTTAGATAATTAGGCCTTATGCATGCTGGCCACACGCCCACACATTAGCACTGGTCATGGTTAATAGTTGTTACTTTCTTGGATCTGAAAGACGAACATTCATAGTCATTGATTCAAATGTGATTCTTCTTTAATATTGTAAAAAATCCTTGAGAAAAATCAAGATTAATAGTTAAAACAGCACATTCTAATAGTTTTTAATGACTATGCAATTAGATTGATATCCCCAGCAACACAAGAGTGAAATACTGGTTGATATTAAAACGGCTGCTAATTCCGAAGCGGTGCTAATTCCCACTCATTGTAGAGATTTTAAGGGTGAAGCTCAAAATAGCCTTCCTTTTCAACCCAAGAATATCAGACAGCCTTAGCATCAAGCTGGACACCACAGGTTCAACTTTGGACCCAAGGGAACTAGTTCGAAGTTCTTTCAGAAATTTCATCGAACATCTATCGATCAACGTCTCCGGTCTACCCTCCCCTGGTTTTACGTGTCATACCAACACAGCCTCTTATTGCTACGTGTCACTGTGTCAATAGACCTATATTTCCGTCTCATAATGGCGGACCCGCCATTTCCATTGCTTTCGATAGCTGACTAGCCACCGCCGCCGTTGCCGTCGCTCTGTAAAACGTTTTTCCAATTATGCACCTTTGCCGGTCGCCACTTCGGCTCCTGAAATGCAGTCACTTCAGACAATTCTCCTCTCAGCACTCCCAGCTGGAAAGCGCGGGCACCATGGCGTCGCTCTTAAAGACCCGATCTGTGATTCGATTCAGAGGACCGGACACCGTGAAGTTCCTTCAGGGCCTTATCACCAACGATGTACAGAAACTTGTGGAGCCTCCAGACGAAGATAAGACCAATTTGGTCACTACTAACTTGCCTTTCACAACTGCGCCTCCGCTCTACGCCGCACTTTTGACTCCTCAAGGAAAGTTCCTCTACGATATGTTTCTGTACAGACCACCACGGTCTGATGAAAAGCTGGACACCACAGGTTCAAGTTCTGGCCCGAACCCGGGCGAGTTGGAGCTCTATGCAGATGTTGATAGGTCTATGTTGGATGATCTCTTGGAAGCTCTAAAAAAGTAAGCCCTGATTGGACTTTGAAGTAGTATTTATCTGCAGACTCACAGACTAAGAATTCTCTCAAACTAAACTGCCACGGATGAATAGCTTTTCCTGGATATGAAATGGCAGAAAAATAATATAGGTGTGAAATTATGGAGTTGGTGGGCTAAAAGGATTGAACTTTCCGAAAAGAAAAGTGTTGGGACATCCAGTTCCCTTAGAAGCATGTTTGGGATAGCACATAATCTTGATTATAAGTTTATAACTGCTCTATAGTTATATGATTTATTTTCAAAAAAGATATCTGTCTGAGACCATAAGCTGAAATCTCATCTATAAGTTCTTTTTTTTCAAAGATATGTGTTTTCTTGAACCTTAAAACTCGTACTTTCGACCACTTTAATTTTTCTTTCTTCCATTTTCACTCTCTTTTTAACTTGTATAAGCATTTTTTTTGCTGCACCTATATGAAATTGAATTATTTTAAATTTATTTTGATATTAAAACTGAAATTGTAGAAACCGAAAGGAAACGATATAGATGAGGCAAGTTCGAGAGTGCCTCGTCTCTCCCAAGTCCCAGTCCTATTCCAAGTTCTGCCTGCCCCTTTATTCTACTCCCACTCCTATTTATAATCTTTTCCTTATGGGGCCAGCCAAGGCTAACTAATACCAAGCCCAGGACCCTCTAATACACTATCACAATTGATTATTATTTTTCTAATATTCTTATTATTACTCCTTAGCCCATGATCCTAACATATCTCCCCTTGAATCAGCCTTAATATTAGGTTCACCTTCATCCTTGCACCTCTTCCTTCCCAGTACCTTGCTGTTTTCTTATCAACTTTCAGACATTTTTCGTCATCTTTTCCATTTCTTGGACCCTCGCACTTTGATATGTTCCTTTCCATATCAACCTCTTCCTGGAGCTTGGTCAGTGTCATTGAGTCCAGAGTCAGAGTTGATACTTCTTCAGTAGGTGAAACTTTTGAGATACATTGATCACAGTCCACCAGCAAATAACAGTATCCCCTCACATGGTATGCATTCTCATCACCCCAACTTCCTGCTAGTTTTTCCACAACTTTGATTACCTTAACCGGTGTTTGTTCTATAATGTTCTGCATCATCATGGAAACCCCATGACCTTCTTTGGACACAAATATAAAGGGAATACAAAGTACAGTATTTAGGCTCTTAGGCTGATAAGCACAAATATATGTTCTTTCTCCTGTTTGCTTAATCCAAATAATTGGGGCAGCAACTTCTGCTTCCCAAAGATCAGTTACAATGAACCCATCTTTCCATTTTGACCACTTGTCAAGCTGTAAGGTCCTCACAACATGATAACTGCATTGAGAACTATTGTATAAGGAGGCAGTCTGCTGATCTTTTTATAGCTGTAGAGCTTCCCCAGCAACCTACAGAGTTAGTAGATGTAGCATTTCCTTTTCTTAAATAGGACCAAGAGCTCAGGCCAGAAGACACAGCATCTGGAATCAGCATCAAACCTGCATAGGTAAAATTCTTCACCGAGTCTTCATTAGGAAGTGTTGTTGACACTCGCAGGTCCTGGTACATGATCAAAGGATAGCGATTCCTGTTCTTAGCGCCAGATTCCAACACCCTAACCAGAGACTGGACGTCAAGAGCGACCTCCAACCCAATAGTCAACTCATGTAAAGAACCAAGATCATTCACCTCCTCTTGTAAAAGCTGGAACTGAACTTTCTCAATCACTAACTGCTCATGCTTCAATTCACCAAAATAAGTTACTGTCAATGTTTTAGCAAGTTTAATTTTGCCAACTCCAGCAGGACAAAAGGGCATAGCAGCAATGTGACTCATTAGAAGTATTCCCTTATCAATCCTCAGCTGTTCACGAAATTCGCCCGACCAAAATGAAGCTATTGAAGCTCTTTCCTCATGTCCAACCACACAAAATTGATCATCTCTAGCTGCCAAATTTATATAATGTTCAGTGTGGACTTTATCACCCCCTTCCAAGTGAGTTTCCTACTTATTTCTGCTGAGTTTCTTTTTCATAATCATTTCAGGTCATGTCCGCACAGATCTATTTTCTTGCCAGTCTTCACTTGGTGATTTTGTATGTACGGAAATATGCAGTCGCTTTTTCCTTTTAGGAGCATCCATTTGTGATCTCCACCCCACCACACCAATAGGATCAATGGTTTTGCCCAGATGATATCTATAAGGAATGTATCTACCTGAAAGTTGCAAAACTGCTGTTATGGCCTCATAGTTCTCAAACTCATATTTCTCATGCAGCCCTAGCAGTATCTGGACATCATCCTCGTGGTTCGGTTCATGAATCATTATAGGCTAAAACCCAAGCGGTGACCTTAACATATTAGCAAGTCCAGTACCCTTGCTTCCTCTTCCATCCTTGTCCGTGCCAGAACCACTTGGCGTATGGACCTCATCAATAAGAAGAATGAAATCACATGGGCCTCCAATTCAACAGAGAAGTACAAGAATTTATTCATAATAGTAAGAGGCTCGGCTAACTTCCTCTTTGGTGCAACATGAAAACCTGAGTTTAATTTAGAGCTCAGATCTAATCCACACTCAGACTTGGGAGTAAAATTTTGCACCCCATTGTAGAACCGAACAACATAACCGTGCTTTTCAATCTTCTTTATCCATCCTTGTTTGATTAGTTCCCCAGTAGCATCCGTGTATGAGCTGATGATTCCCGGAAGCTTCTTTCCATCATTCCCCTCTTCTATTTCCTCAGTTTCCTCTATACGGACAGTCCCTGTAGAGCTTTCCCTGGCAACCGAGGATTGAGTAACCACAAAAGATTTCTCCTCTCTTCCTTCATCACCATAGATGAACGTACCTTTAGATAGAGTTTGCCGGGGATTGCCAGACTCCTGCGACTCAGACAGCAACAGCGAACTGGAGGCTTCTCCTTCCGGTCGCATCGTACCTTGAAATAAGCTTGCAGAATTCTAACAACGGCGGACTGTCCTCGATTGATCTCGCCTGTGACGTTGTTTACGCAAATCGGTGCGCAACTGGTCCAACCAAATCCTCCGCTCTTTCTCCCAATCACTTTCTACCTTTTCCCGGCTCTTCGCGCGCTTCTCGCTGTTCAAGCCATTCTCCAGGTTTTCGGACTTCCCCACTTTTCCGCGCGAAGCATCCTGATCGGATCTTCGATGAGGTTCCATCCTCTTTTGCGTAGACACGCGCTTCTCCATGTTCGCACGCAAAGCAGAGGCGGACAGCTTATGTTCTCCATGTTCGCGCTTATCCACCTTCTGTTTCCTGCGCTGCTCCATTTGTTTATCGCGTGAATGTAGATCGAAGATTCTCAGGCTAGACTGCTCTGATACCAATGATAGGTACACAGAAATCTGGCGCTGAATGGTTTGATATTAAAACTGAAATTGTAGAAACTGAAAGGAAACGATACAGATGAGGCAAGTTCGAGAGTGCCTCGTCTCTCCCAAGTCCCAGTCCTATTCCAAGTTCTGCTTGCCCCTTTATTCTACTCCCACTCCTATTTATAATCTTTTCCTTATGGGCCAGCCAAGGCTAACTAATACCAGGCCCAGGACCCTCTAATACACTATCACAATTGATGATTATTATTATTATTCTAATATTCTTATTATTATTCTCCTTACCCCATGATCCTAACAGCTAGCTTACCCAAAGAATACTTGATTCTGATTCTGAGCGAGTATTCATTGATTAGGAGCGAGTATACATTGATTATTGAAAAAGTCTAACTTTTCAGCTATCCCAAACAAGCTCTAAATAAATATTATGCTAAGCCGGTTATGGCTACTATAGGAAACCTATGATAGGTTTTTATCTTTGTTGTTAATACTCTTTTCCTTGAACTTTAAAGTTACTTGTTTTTAGGGCTAACTTCTTAACAATGTGAGGTATTCTTTTGTTGTAGTTCACAAATGGTTGTTTTTATAATTCTGGTGAATGCCGTTATTGCAGATACAAATTACGATCCAAGGTTGATATTGAGAACTTGTCAGATGATTTTTCTTGTTGGCAAAGGTTTGGTCAAAACTTGACGAATATGTCATCCAAAGAACCAGAAGCTGATAATGTTGGATGGGCTGCTGGAACTGACCGTTCCAGCGAATCATCTGCGAGAGGAAATAGCTATGGGTGGTCATGGCATAGAGATCCTAGGTTGTATTGCCTTGGATTTAGGGGTATCTTTCCTTCCAACATAGTACGTAAGTGTTGTTATTTTTTTCATATTTATATTCAACCAATTCAAGTATTCGAGTCCAGTGTATTTTCTTTGTTTGTTGCAGCACCTATAGTTGAGGCAGATAAAGAAACCAGTGAAGAAAACTATCTTCTATGGAGGTTGGAGAAGGGGGTTGCTGAAGGACCATTGGAGATTCGAAAAGGTTGTTTTTCTTAACCCCCTGTTTGTTATTTTCTTTTTGCGGGGTGTTTATATCTTTTAAAATTCACATATGTGTCAGTGTGTCACTAACTTCAGCTATGCTATGAATTTCTTGTGTTGTTCCATATCTCAATGATATCTTGTCGTGCTTAGTATCTATGCTATAATGTGGTGTTAACAATGAGAGTGAACTGGTTGGACTTGGAACCGGTTAGCGAATGGTCCGGTCTATTAAGGCAATAAAGAACTGGTTTAAACCATGTGAACCAGTTCATTGGTAGTTTCATAGCTTAACTGTTTTTGCTTAGCTTCAATTAAATTATTGTTAGTTTTTTGTTTCCATACTATGTATGTGCGCGCACATGCTCCCAATTTATACAAAACCGGCTCAACCGGTTTGACTACCATCATGAATCCATGATCATATCAGCTCATCAGCAGTTTGGCTTTTATTACCTTGTTCAGCTACAGTGTTTGACAGCATTTGTATGAACGAATACTCCAGAGTTTGGTTTTGTTGATTAGCTTTTATAGCCTATGAGACAATATTGCAAGATCTTAAATCTTGTGTAGGAGTTACAATAATAATCTTGGTTAAGATATGAGTATTATTTTTCAGGTGAATCAATCCCACTTGAGTATAACCTGACTGCTTTAAACGCAATCAGCTTCGACAAAGGGTGTTATGTGGGCCAAGAACTCATTGCTCGTACGCATCACCGTGGGGTCATCAGGAAGCGCTTGCTTCCTCTCATATTTGTTGATGATGGTGGCAGTGGTAAGTACCCTGCTTTTTTCCTTACAATTGTGCCCCCCCCCCCCACCCACCACTACCCCAGCTATATCCGAGGGAAGCTGCATTTTGCTTTACAGCAGAGGCTTAAATACGTTTTAGTTCGTGCAAATGTAACCTTGTTTGTATTGTTATCCACTTATCCCTGTAGATTTATGTTCTTTTTTATCCACCCCTATAATATGGAATGTTTTATGTTTAGTCCCTCTCCACCAACCCTGTTTAAAAAAATCTGATGTGTGTTACAGAACTCGTACGAGGCATTTCCACGTCAACTTTCTTTACCTCATCGCCTACTACAAGGGGTGTTTGGGCCAACAAAAACAACCATTTCCACTTGAATTCCATGCCTGATTAATCGGGAAATAAAATATAAATCATTTTTTGAAATAAATCACCGTTGTAAATCAAAGTTGGAATTTTGTGAGGCTTAGGCTTAATTAAAGGGAGGTTAACAGGACCTAAAATAAAAATGTATAGATTGCATTGATACCAAACTAAACATACTTGAAAATGGGGGTGTACACAGTTCGTTCCCCTTCCCCTTGGAGAAGACACTTTTTCCTTTGAAAACTCTCAACCAAGTTAAATGGACGAATATAATTTTTTTATGGAGACTTAAAAGTTGGAATAAAAAAACTGGTGACACACATATATACATACTTGTGTTAAGTGCTCAACATTGTGTTTCTAATTCAGAGGTGGAGATGAGAGTTACTCCAGGGTCTTCTGTAATTGATGCACAATCTAGAAAGAAAACCGGGACTGTCACAACTGCCCTTGGGAGCCGTGGTCTTGGTCTTCTGCGCTTAGAGGATGCCTTTAACGGTAATTTGGCCATACAAAACCAGGAAGATGTTAAGGTCCAGACTTTTAGACCAAAATGGTGGCCTTCTGAATGGGTAGATGGCCATCAGCAGTTTGCTGCAGCTACCTAGTTAAGAATGTTGCCTTTTAATAAGTCCTTTTTTTAGTTCCCAAAAAATAAGAAATAATCTCTTGAAGGGAAAATTATGAAATTTTCACGGCTTTTAGTCACCTTTTCTTTTCTTGTAGTGCTGAAACTGATTTATCACTCGGGCTATGTTGTTAGCTTTTTATAAATGTATCCATGCAACCCTCTCCGTAGGTAAATGTCTTGTAATATGGTTCCGGTAATGATTATATCCAACAAACTGCACATCAAAAGCTAATCGAGAGATTAGTACTTACATGTTGATCATATTTTCTAAAAAGAGAGGATTTGAAATATAAAGAATAAGGCTTAGATTGGTTGAAGTACTTGCCATAAGGCTCACAAAGCTGCCTAAACTTCCATCACGATTAAGCTCGAGTGACACTTCTTGCCCATCAAAATCTTTAGCCTGGAACATCCCCAAGTGAAATGTAATTAATTTGACACCAAATAAATAGCAGAAATATAGATTCCATCACTTTACATTATAGTTGTATAAATTACAGTTGCTCTTTCCAAACTACAGATATTCTCTACCTCATATGGTAGTGAGGAGGGAACACACAAAACTCCATATAAAACGCCAAGTTCATTCAGAATCAGCATATTCAACTTACAAAGTATGTTTAATCATTCATGGTTTGGACAAGTATTCTTTACTTTTAGACAAAAATGATTAAATGAAAACATCAAAAGGTCGCATAGTGACATTTTTTAGAGAGCACACAACATATTACATGAGGTGTAAATAATGCCAGAAAATGAATCTGTTAAGTTGAGCACAACCAAGGGATGGATCTCTTTTATCCTCTTCAAAATAAGGAGGTTTGTAGCCCAACCTCCAAGAGAGGTGTGACCAATATAACCAGGGCCTTATAGACTAACCAGGAAAAAGGTATTATTTTTTTTGATTTAAAAGTTCAACGTGGTGCACATGTCTATATTAACTGGACCATAAAAAGTTAGATCATAATGGAAACATCACAATAACTCAAACGAAGTGTTGAGTGACCATAATATTCAAACCAGGTCTAACATCTAGTATGCAATGACCAAAATGACAGAGGGTGATGAGCAAACCACTTGAGATTAGTGATGGATTCGGGCCGGGTCGGGCCCGGGCCGGGCCTAGGCCCGGTCGGGCCGCCAGTTCAAGAACAGTGGGCCCGGGACCGGCCCGAGGGTTGGACGGGTCCGGTTCGGGCCGGGCCACCCGCCCGGGTCACGGGTCGGGTCCGGTTCGGGCCGGGCCGGTTAATTTTTTTTTTTTTTATAATTTATATTTTATATTTTATAGTTTATAGTTTGATACGAGTATTAAAAACAAACTTCAATTGCATTTATTTGAAATGAAATAGGAACTACATTTGAAAATTAAAACAAACTTTAAGAGATAAACATTTTGAAAATTGTAATCAATCGGAACTTCCCGCACCTCCCGATCCTTTGGCTTTGTCACATGACTTCATATGCTTGATTGACATCCCGAATCCGCCTGAAGCCCCCATAATACATTTTTTTTCGCACCATTTACAAATTGCGTACCACATCCGGCCGGTCTTCGGGTCCTTCTGCTTATCAAAATTATACCGTATAATGGCATTTTGATTTTCCATCTTAACTTCTTGGAGAAGAGAATAAGAGAGTAGATATATAATATATTGGAGAATAAGAGAATTAGAGAGTAGAGAGTTAAGAATAGGATTTAGGAAGAATTGGAGAAGAGATATGAAAAAATGTTTAAGATTAGGAGTATTTATAGGTTTTTTTACCCCCCACCCCCCCCCCCACCCCCCCCCACCACCCAACCCCCCCGGACCCCCCCTATAACCCACCCAACGGCTATATAGCCGTTTGGGTTGTCCCCAGCCCCACCCCCAACGGCTAGTAGAAGCCCAACCCAAAAATTTTTTTTTTTTTTAAATTTGATCGAACCGGACCCGGGCCCGGGCCCGACCCGGCCGGGCCGGGTCACAAAATTGCTGCACCGAGCCCGCCCCGCCCCTTCCCCCCGGTTCGGGCCCAGACCCGGTCCCGGACCGCCCGACCGGGCCGGTCCCGGACCGCCCGACCGGGCCGGTCCCGGACCGCCCGACCGGGCCGGTCCCGGGCCCGCACAGTACCGGGCCGGGCCGGGTCACGGGCCGGGTGGCCCGAACCGAATCCAACCCTACTTGAGATGCGTTGAGAGACAAGGATTTGAAAATATCATTAAAAACTTACAATGGTATATCCAGAACTTTTATATGGAGGGAGATTATATAGAACTATACTATAGCAAAGGAAAAATAATTAAATGAAAAATTAATTCTATAAGATGTTTTGAATATAATAAATTAAAATTAAATTAAAATATATAATGCATAACTGCACAAAAAAAGATCATTAAATTCAGGTCAATATACATTGAATAAAATACTAGAGTAAAATACATATACACAACAAAAAATTCAACTAGAAATATCATCCTGTAATAATAGTAGATTGAAAAACTTACAATTTGAAGTACAAAAGAATAAATGAATAAATCAATGGGGATGTTTGGCAATTAGTTGTTGGCTGATTGTGTCAGGGGTTTATTGAATGGTGCTCGGTTAGATGGCCGTTTACTATGTTGATAACTTGTCAAATGACTCTTAAGGACATATACTATTTTTTTTGTTTACCAACTAATTTTATATATGTATTATATAAATTGACACCATGTTATTAGCACAACTACTTACACCATTTTGTTTGATAGAAAATAATTTTTAAACACAAGTAACAATGCAAATGAAAATGAAAATGAAGTAACAATGCAGTGAGACAAACGCATAATCTCCCGCTTATGAAAAACCAATGCAGATACAATATGCAAAAATCAAGTCTGGTTGCATTGCTAAAGCTGATGGCACTTGTGAAAAAAGGATGATGAAAGACTGACAAGAAGAAACACAAAGAAGCAGAAGCGGAAGAATAAAACGGTGCAACAAATGGCCCAAGAGATGCAAATGGAGGCCCAACTGTGGCTGCTGGTCGCCAAGGAAAGCCAGGAGCACAAGAATATACTATTCATACAGAATCTGCCTCATATTTGGGGTTCCCCATGAAAGATACGTAGTAGTAGCTTACCTCCAATTGAAAGAAATAAAAACCTTATAAGAATTGATAATCTCGGAAGTTGCAACAGCCAGAATTAAAACAAAATAACAATAGATGTAAAAGACTATAGAGATGTCGGATTAGCCCAACAAACATAGTAAGAAACCATTGGTTAACAGTCATCTATATGTGTGTGAACGCGTGCACGCACACATCGAAATACTCCCTCCGTTCCTAAATAAACTTCCAACTTTCCTTTTTCGTCTGTTCCAATTAAAACTTCCACTTTCTCTTTTTTGTAAAAAAATTGTGGTTCACAACATTTCTTACACATTTCTCTCTCCTCTGCACAACTCTCCACCACACAATATCCACTATCTTAAACTTTGTGCCAAACCTATTTGGAAATTAAAATAGGAACGGAGGTAGTAGAAAATTCTGCTTGAAAGTACAGAAGAAATAGAACAAGATACCAAGTACTCCATATAACTTAAGGAGTATATCTTATTAAACATAAATTCAAACAATATAATAACTAATACTCCGTAGAAACTTTAAACTAGCATGCATTTAAAAAAAGGAGGGCAATGTTTGCTGCAAAGATTTGAGGTGTCTGCCCTAGGCATGGACCAATTCCGGTCTGCCCAGCCCGGGAACTGGCAAGGCCCGCCACTGTGCGGGACTAACCCAGCCCGGTTGCCCGGTACTATGACCCGACCCGGGGGGGGGGGGGGGGGGGGGGGGGGTTGCAAAGTGTTTGGGTGGTAGACGGGTTGGGTGTTATGAAGGGGTTTGGGGTGGGGAGGTGGTAGTAGGAATTAATTAGAAAAGCAAAAAAAATGGTACTCGACCCGGCCCGGAGCCCCGCCCGGAACCAGTCCATGCCTAGCCTGCTCTGAATCTCCAACTAGGGGTGGATTCGGTTCGGGCCACCCGGCCCGGCCCGGCCCGTGACCGGCCCGGTCGGGCGGTCCGGGACCGGGTGTGGACCCGAACCGGTGGGAATGGGCGGGGCGGGCACGGTTCCGGAAAAATGTGACCCGGCCCGGGCCCGGGTCCAACGGTCTTATTTTAAAAAAAAATTGTTAAATTGCTACTAGCACTACAAAAAAAACACGCCGTTTGTCACGGATTTTTGTCACGGATTCCGGCCGTGACAAAGTTGTCACGGGCTTTGTCACGGAATATTGGGATTTGTCACGAAAATGATTTGTCACGGATTTATCCGTGACAAAATCCGTGACAAAATATTGTCACGGATTTGGTCCGTGACAAATTTACTCCGGCGACCGGTTTTTTACTCCGGTGAATACCTTTTTTGCTTCCGGGCATTTGTCACGGACCTTTCCGTGACAAATCCGTGACAAACCTCAATTATTGATTTTCCAACGGTAACCTTTAATAATATGGTACGGGAAAAGAGTTGTCACGGATAAATCCGTGACAAATCCGTGACAAACTTTTTTATATAACCCAACCCCATCGTCCATTACAATTGCAAGAACAACAATTATCAGTTCAAAAATTCGTAGATTCGAGTGATGTAGTATTGGTTTAAAGATTGAATGATGTAATCCGTCAGTTCATCATTTTCCGAGTTTATGCAGATAAGGTATGTCATTTTAACTAATTTCTTTTAATTGTGTAATAAATTAATTATTAGCTTAATAATTAATTATTATTAGTGAGGTTAGGATTCTTTTTTCTTTATATAATAATAATTAATTATTAGCTTAATAATTAATTAGTGAGGTTAGTTGTTCATTTATTTAAACTATTAACATAATTTAGTGAGGTCATGTTAATTTTCATATTATTAACAATATATTATTAAACTATTAACGTAAGTTAATTAGTTAAATTTAAATATAAATATTAATTAGTTAAATTATTGTTATTATTAATGCATAATAATTTAGGATGTGTAGTGATTATTTAAGTATTAGCTAGCTTATTATAGATTAATTAATTAGTGACTTGTAGTGATTTAATTAATTAGTTAGCTAGCTTAATTATTAGGTTACTAATTATCACCAATTATTATTTGTTAGCAATTATTGTTAATGGGATGCATAATATAGCTAGCTAGGATTGAAACTTTATTATTATTTAGTTTAGTGTGAATTATTATTGTGAATTATTAATGAGATAATATTTAACAATAATATTAGTTAAATGTAAATTAATTAACTAATTAATTAAGTTAAAACATTGAGGAAATGGGTTTAGAATTTGA